AATGAGAGAGAAAAACATTCTAGTGGTGTGATTAGGTGAAATAACAAATAAATTTCCCTCCTTTATTAAAAAAAGATCCAAAGTTCTTCACTTTGTTTCCTGCTGAACACTTGTTGAAAAGACATAGTGGAATGGTGGAAAAGAACCGACTCTCCCTAATTAAAGCTCTCATTGTGAGTGTTAACTGGGAGGCGAGCAAAATTTTTTCTTTTTCATTACGGTACTTGTGATATTTTAGGAAAAAATTAAGGCAGGAGGATATTGGATTATCAAGGTTTTCCTGTAGTCACATTTGATATCTGTGACATTCAGATGGAGTGGCCTGCTGGTGTGAGAGGCTGCTGGTTGTCTGCCGGTCCCCGTTTGCCCCATCTTTGCTAGTTATAAAACCCCTAATTCTATCTGGCACACGATCACTTGGAATGGAGACTACATTTCCCCACCTCCTGTGCAGCTAGGCATCACTGTATTACAAAATGTTGATTAATTGTTTTAAGTGGAAGTGCCACGTGCAATTTCTTTAAAGTATCCTCAAGGAGGAAAGCTTTTTCCCCCCTTCCTGTTTTCCTGAAGGGACTGCAGATGTGATGGCTAAGCTCAGGCAGCCATTTTGGAACATGGAGGGTGGGATCCACGCACTGGGGGCGGTTGGCCACAAGATGCCAGGAACCTCTGCATTGTCCTTGTGTAAGTGAGAGAGGAATGCCTGTTATTTTTGGTTTGCTCTCACAATGGAGCTGACCGTCACCTCAGCTTGTATGTCTGAGAATCTGTTTCATCTTTTTGGTATGAGGGCAGCTCTTGGAGATTCTTTTTGTTTCCTGTCAGACTATATACCTCAGAGATAAAGGATGCTTTATTTGGTGGACAAGAACAGTCTTATCTTTTATAAATACTAATGCGTGAGATGTTATGCAATGTCTAAAATTGAACTTGCCAGGTAAGAAGCCATCATGGTGATGCTTGTAAAACCCACAGAAATGCTTTTCTCCTCTGCTTTGCTCTTCTCTTCCTCCTCTCCTAAGGGTTCAAGCCCAAAGCCAGTAAGTATGACCGAAAAAGAGAGGCATTCAGGGATGTGGGTGGTGGGCCTGGTGGCCCAGAGCCAGACGTGGGACCAGGAGTCGGGTGAGGAGAGTGTCTGTGTCTGTGTGGGGTGGAGAGGTGGAGGAGCACGTGAGGAGGGTGAGTGGGACAGAGTGCGAAGGGTGTCCCCATCGGAAGAAAGAGGGCGGGGTGATAGGTTTCTGCATTACTACACTGGTTGGGTAGTTGAAAGCCCTTAAAAGGTCCCCCAGAGCCCACTCACACAGGACATAGTTTAGCAGGGTTAAGACAGCACAGCCTGACGTCAGCGGTCCCAGAGGCTCACTGGTGCAGCCCCCCACCCACTACCCCCACCCCCAGGCTTGTTTCTTACTTGTTCAGGACATACTTTGTCTCCAGGTATGAACCTTCAAGGTATGTTTGAGGAATGTGGGTTTTGGGGGTGCCCGGGAAGATAACGTCCAGAGGTGTCTTCTGCACCCGACTGGCCAGGTGCCTGTAGCCTCATGTAAGCCAACGATCTGCACGTTCCTGAACTTGTGAACTAAAGTTTGCACATCTCAAGCTCGCCTGCTCATGCTGGTCTTGAGCCAGGATCAGTACCAGACTTCTGGGGGACCCAGTCCAGTGCTGAGACAACTGTAGTTAAGTGTAGGGGTATCTATTGCAGACTTAACTAGATTAAACATAAGGGAAGCCAGAGTTCTCGCTATTAGAGAAGGAAATTACGAATAGGAAAGGGGGAAAATGAGAATCAGCTGTGTGATGTTGTATTGGAATTGGTCTATTGTCTATTGGTGTGAATTTGTGATTTTCAGTTAATGTAAATAGTGAAATCAGTGTAGGGGTGTGTGTGTGTGTGTAGTTTTTCTAGTTCTGTCCACTCAGAGGAGCTGGGAACACTGAGCCCCCAGATAGCAATGAGCACATCTGGTGCCCAGATTTGGGCTTAAAAATAACATTTTCCACCAAAACAAACAAACAAACAAACAAAAACAAGCAGAGCTCATTAGAGGAACAGTTAATTGATTCCAGGGTTGTGGCAGCAAGAGTCCAAAATGAATTTGACTGTCTCTTGCCAGAAAACACGGAAGTTCTCGAAAGAGCCATGGGAACATGTCAAAAGGACTTAGGGAGCAGCTGGGATGGGCTACCAACTGGCCAAATCAGAGGTCATGATGAACATCATCATAATCTGAGAAAAATTATGTAACCAATTGACTGCTGTAAGAAACCACGAAGCCATGCAGTAGCAATAAATACAGCAGCAGCAACTCCACTGATGTTGTGGCCTGGATAATTCTTTCCTGACTGGGCCGCCTGGTGCGTTGCAGGATTTAGCAGCGTTTCCCTACCCGCTACTTGCCACTGCTTTAGACCAGTGCTGTCCAACAGAAATACAATGCAAGCCACATGTGCAAGTTTAGATTTCCTGGTGGCCATAGTTAGAATGTCTCCAGATGTTACCTCATGTCCTGTGAGGGTCAAAATTGCCCCCTTTTGGGGACCATGAAACATGTAGAACAAGATTTTATTGGTTTCAAAGTATCCTCGCTTCCCTCTTCCCCACCAATTTTTTTTTTTTTTTACTAATTACAAAGGGGAAAAGAATAAATTTACAGTGGAGCAGCCTGGTAGACATAAGTAACTGAGAGAAGATCAGTGATAGGACAGATGGAAACCTTGTGTCAGTTGATAGGATGCGGTGAGAAGAAGACAGCATTTCCTTAGTATCGCTGCCAGGGATGCATAACCTAAATCTAATCAGGAATAAACAAAGGGTTGGAGATTCCTCAGAAAACTAAACATAGACCTACCATATGATCCAGCAATCCCACTCCTGGGCATATATCCTGAGGAAACTAACTCGAAAAGATAAATGCACCCCAATGTTCATAGCAGCACTCTTTACAGTAGCCAAGACATGGAAGCAACCTAAGTGTCCATCAACAGATGATAGATAAAAAAGTTGTGGTATATTTATATAATAGAATACTACTCAGCCATAAAAAAGGATAAAATAATGCCATTTGCGGCAACATGGATGGACATAGTGATTGTTATTCTAACTGAAGTAAGCCAGAAAGAGAAAGAAAAATGCCATATGATATCACTCATATGTGGAATTAAAAAAAGAAAAAAGGACACTAATGAACTCATCTACAAAACAAAAACAGACTCGCAGACCTTATGGTTACCAATCTTATGGTTACCAGGGGAAAGGGGGTGGGAAGGGATTAATTTGGGAGTTTGAGATGTGCAAATGTTAGCTGCTATATATAAAAATAGATTTTAAAAATGTTTCCTCTGTCTAGCACAGGGAACTATATTCAATATCTTGTAATAGTTTTTAATGAAAAAGAATATGAAAATGAAAAAAAAGTATGTATGTGTATGACTGAGACAATGTGCTGTATGGCAGAAATTGATACACTGTAACTGATGGTATTTCAAAAAAAAAAAAAAAGAATGAAGGGCACATGGAAGACATAATACAGAACAGCCTGGCCTGCATGCGTCACAATTGCTAAGGTCCTCAGACTGAGAGGTGACTCCAAGAGGCCCGGCAGCTACCTGCCGTGTGGATTCTGAACTGGATCCATTTCTGTAAAAGAAGAGTTAGGATGCTTGGTGACACTTGGATGGAGGTTGAGGACTAGATGATAAGGTTGTTTCATGGTAAGTGTTTGACTTCGATGGTTGTGTTGTGGTTGTGCAGGAGAGTGTCTTTGTAGAGATACCCTAAAGTTCTGTGGGACATTAGACCAAAAGCTGTATCTCAGATGGGTCAGGGCAGAAAAATAGGTCTTTGTATTGTATCTTGAGCTTTTCTCTAACTTTGTGGTAGTTGGAAAATAAGAAAAATGCTTGCAAGTTGCAGTCGGGGGTCATAGGTTGGGGCCCAACACTGAGTCCCTTCCTGAGAAAAAAAATAATCTTACTGTCCCATTAAAGGGAAAACCCTGTTGCATTAATATAATGTTCTTATAGAAAGAATGTTGAAAAAAATTTCTAAATAATATTTAACACACATATATATATTTAAAACCTTAATACATATAACTGTGCTATAGTATAATTAGTATATTATGCATAACCATTCAGATTTTAATTTTATGTATATAGTATGCACACACATCTATATGTACACGTAAATAAAATGTACATAGACCTTCCACTGAGTGACGTTTTAGAACCCAAAGAAGAGGGCAGGTCACTTTTTCCCCCTCTGGCTTTTTTTGTTTGTTTGCTTGTTTTTTTCAAGTAGATCTATATATGTTTTTTTCTTGGTAGTTGGGAAAACCATTTTTTTTTTCAAAGCAGATCTAATCTTTTTCAGCAGATTAAGCCTGCATGATGTTTAAAATTGGTGAATTACGTGCTGGTGCTTTGAAATGTCCACCAAAACTTGTTGAGAAGAACTTGGGAAGGGATTTTACTCTGATTATCTGAGAGTGTAGGGGAGTTTCGGGGTTGACAGTGGTCATGGGTGAACTCACTGGCTGCCGGCCTTCCGTGAGCTGACCTCTCTGTCTTGATGGGATGGTCTTTTAAGCACAGGTGAGGGCGTGGTTCCTGTCCGGACCCTGGGGCCGGTTCGCCGGGCCGGTTCGCCTGGCCAGTTTGCCTGGCCTGACCGGCTCACACTATTGAGATGGATGGCCCCGGCTGGGCCAGCCGATCGGGTCACCCAGCGTTGCTAACGGGCCCTTGTCAGGTTTGCTCCTGCGACATTAATCCCATTAGCTCTAACTCACTGTGCTAATTGCACTGTTAATTGCGTGACTTTTCTTAATTTGGTTTCACATTTAACAGCATTCCATGAATTCCCTGCTTCTATTTTTGTGAGCGGTAACGGTTCAACCTGTGAAAATAATTCAGCATTTGACCTTGCAGGCGCGTCGGTGTAATCTGGGTGCATTAACTGACTGTGTTTTTCTTTTCTTTTACAGTCACCCTGTCACACATCACGCAGCTGGTCCTCAGCCACAACAAGCTGACGAGTGAGTTGATGTCATCCTCTGCTACCCAGTTTCTGACTTTTAGCGAACGTGGTGATACTGCTAATTCTTGTGTTTCCTTTAAAGACACTAATGTCAAATGATTATTTGGGCAAACTGAAAATTGATTTGGGCAACGCTGAGGGACCTGAGCGTACGTATGATCTTCCTGAATTTTGTAGTTTGCTCTGTTTTGAGGATTCTTCCTTATCATGTGTGTTAACTGAAGAAAGATAATGACACTGTTTCTCTGCAAATGGTCCCTGTCCGGCATGCTCAATGCAGTGGCCTGAAATGCTGGGTCTTTATTATTTCATGAAAACAAACAAACACTTTCTTATCAAAAAATATTAGAATAAGAATTCTTTGCTTTCATTTATATGTTTTCCTCAAAGGGGGAACATTTATTGATCTGCCTTTTTTCCCTGCTTGATGGGGGGAGAAAAGCACGAAGTTGTACAAATTCTATCCATTTGCATCTGCGTCTTTGAAGTTCTTGAATCTGGTTTCCACAGAAAATGGTACTGGGTACTGGTCGTGTTGTGGTGCTGTTAACATACAGCGGATTCACACCTCTTTGTAAAGCAAATCTTGTGCGACTGATGTTGGCTATTTCATCCTTAGAGCTGTGGCTTTAAAGATTTTAATGACAGCGACCCACTCTCCCTTCTCATTTCTGATTGACTGTCCCTCCTTCGTGCCGCCGTATTTCTTGCTGACTTGAATGATTCTCTAATCATGTGGCAAGAACTTGGTAGGGAGCTTCTCCGAGTCCAGTGAAACCGAGCAGAAAGTCACGCTGAGGGATGTGTGTCGCGAATGTATGTGTGTGTGTATGTTATATGTGGCTTGAAGCACCGTCACAGAGCTGTCGATACCTGAGAGTTAAGAGTGGCAGTTAAGGCCCCTCATGGGCAGGAGGCAGGCAGATTAGTTCATTGTTAGCAAAAAGCACATGTTCGTAAGGCAAAGGCAGAGTGGCACGATTGTTGTTCGGGTACCGGTGGCCCCAGCAGCTGAACGTGAGGGTGGCAAGTCACGTGTGATCGTTTTTGTAACAGGTGTTCTGGTGCCACTTTCATTGTTTTTGTAGCAAATGGTCCTTTTCTCCACTGAGACCCTAATCCCAGTTCAGAAGGGACTGTGTGGTCCCTAAATTCCCCCAGATTTTGTGAGCAGAAATTCCTGAAGCTCTCTGTCTCTTCGCTCATGAAAATATTTCTTAATTGCCAGGCTTACTACCCCTTTTAGATCTTATGTCATCACTAGAGCGGAAAACAGTTTACATTTAAACAAGAAAGCCAAACACATTTTATTCCTATTATATCACTAATTGATCCATTCTTTAAAAAATTATTTCAGATGGTTGTAGTTTATTTCTTTCTAAATGTCCACAAACAGAGAAAGCTCAGGGTCGGGAGGTCGGTTTCTTTTTCCTGGCATGCAATATGAGATTTATTGAGGAGGACATAAATACAGCGTTAAATTGTGTCTTTTATGAAAGAGGTTCACTGTGAATGGATCCAACCTTTGTATTTCTTTCTTCCTTCCCCCCCCCCATTTGAAATACTCTTGACCTAACCCAGTAAGCTCTAATTAATCGTCTTGGCAAATTCTGTTTCATGCCATTGTGAGTAGTGTCAGTGACACCCGATCTGTTCCACTAAGGTCAAATTAGCATCTTTTACTATTTTTCTGGCATTTAAATGAATGGCTTTGCTCTGGTTTTTCCAGTGTTTATAGTAAATATGTCCATGTGATGGAAATATAAATATGCATTACATGGAATTGGGCGAGCCCACCCTACTGTCACTTTTTATTGTAATCAGTGTCTTTCATGTTTCCTGGATTTAATGGGGACTGGCTGACAGCACCACATTCAAACCGCTGGGACTCAAAAGATAAACCCCTCAGCGCTGCTTGTATCTTGCAAAAGTGAGTGTTTTTCTCTTCCGGTGCCAGTTACACTTGCGTCCTTACAGAATGACCGACCTGGTCCCTCATGCTGGGAACTGATCTGGGGACACCTTTTGGCTCCACACACCTAAGTCTGTGTCTGTGGGGCTGTTGAAACTGTGTGGTTCTGAGTCTGCCTCTTTTTCCTGCTGGTGGTTTTGACATCAGCAGGTCCACTCAACGCAAGACGAGTGAGATCACGAGGAACGAGAAGGAGGGCTGGTGACCCTTAAATGCCCCACGATTTTGTGAACAGAAATTCTTGAGGTTTTCGACATGAGAGTTCATGAAGTCTTTCAAAAGTGTCATACTACGTGCTGTTAGAGGCTCCTCGTTCTTACAGTGACACGATACACATTTAGAGCTGGGGGACTGGGGCAGTGCTGCTGGGTTTGAGTTAAGTCACTGGAGGGGTGACTACCTGCAGCAGTTTTCCCAGATGCATGTGCCCGTGATGGAATTAAGGTCAGAGGCAAGTGAATCTTCGCCTTCTGCTTTCTGGCTGTGACTGGCTGTGACTCTCTACGAACCAGAAGAAGGTTCTTTCTGCTCCAGTGGGAATGGTTTCAGGGTCAAGATGAGGTTCTGCCCCTGGAAACACCCCAGTCCCCGCCCAGTGCCTGCAGGCCTGCACACACCTAGTGGGAGACGCTGTTGGCCTGACGTCCAGCGCCTGCCCTCTGGCCCCACATCCTGCAGCCAAGCCTTCCTCCCCATGTGCCGCTAGAGGGAGACTGATCCGTCTTCTCTCCCCTGGTCGCAGCTGCCCTCTGCCCCTGCGCCGCCCTGCCTCCCCCTCCCTCCCTTGCAGCGCCCCCGCTGCCCTCTGTCCATCCTCTCTCCGGGCTCCCCTGACTGCCCTGGCCAACTGGAAAGCTTCCTTCCCCCCAACTCCTGTTGTTCATGGACTCTTGACCCCAGTGTGGCACTTCCTCGTCCCACCACTGCTTCCTGTTCCTTCTCTCTCCAAATGCATCTTGTGCTGTGCTGAAAGCAGGGACCATTTCTGATTCTTCCTGGATGCCTGTTGCTGAGTGCACAGTGGCTCCCCAGTGATGACTTGTATAAAGCAGGTGTGGTTGATGGAAGGAAGCTGGTAGGTGGCAGACCAGGGCAGGAAACAGCCGGCCGCTGGTGAAGTGCTCAGTATTGGAACCTGACAGTTTCTTCAGGGTGAACCAGCGTGGAGCCTGGAGGAGCTGTGCCCAGTATGGACTTCTGTTTCTTAACTAATGGCGGGCTCACATCAGACGTGCTGGACCGGGAGCCCTCTAGTGAAGCGTCTCCTTGCGTTCTGGAAGTTGGTGTCCATGGCATCTTTATCGCTATAGGGGCCCCTTCGTCACTGAGGAGTGATGTGCGGAGATGGTGCAGGCAGACCTCGTTGGGCGGTGCCTCACTTTACTGAACTCGGCAAACACTGCGGGTTTTTAGAAATTGAAGGTCGGTGGCGACCCAGTGTCAAGAGAGTCAGTTGGTGCCGGTTTTTTCCAGCAGCATTTGCTGGCTTCGTGTCTCTGTGTCACATCTTGATTGTAATCGCAGGATTGTAAACCCTCCAGCAGCAAAAAGATGACAACTCGTTGACGGCTCAGTTGATAGTATTTTTTTTTTAGCAATAAAGTACATTTTTTCCTTTTTGTTTATTGAAGTATCCTTGGGTTACAGTGTTGTGTCAGTTTCTGGTGTCCAGCATAATGTTTCAGTCATACATGTGCATGCATCTATTCCTTTTCATATTCTTTTTCGTTACAGGTCACTACAAGGTATTGAGTATAGTTCCCTGTGCTGTACAGAAGAGACTTGCTTATCTGTTTTGCAAATAGCAGTTAGTATCTGCAAATCTCGAACTCCCAATTTATCCCTTCCCGCCCCCTTTCCCCCCTGGTAACCATAAGTTTGTTTTCTATGTCATTGAGTCTGTTTCTGTTTTGTAAATAATTTCATTTGTGTTTTTTTTTTTGGATTCCACATATGAGTGCTGTCATATGGTGTTTTTCTTTCTCTCTTTCTGGTTACTTCACTTAGTATGACAATCTCCAGGCCCATGTATGTTACTGTAAATGACATCATTTTATTCTTTTTATGGCCAAGTAGTAGTCCGTTGAATAAAGTACTTTTTAATGAAGGTGTGTACATTGTTTTCTAGACATAATGCCTTGCATGCTCGATAGACAACGGTAGAGTGTAAGCCTAACTTTTACATGCACCTGGGGGACCAGAGGATCTGGTGACCCACTTCACTGAGATAATCGCTTCATCGTGGTGGTCTGGAAGCAGACGTGCCTCATCTCCAAGGTGTGCCTGCCTGTGCTCCTCAGGGACCCCTAAGAATCCACAGCAGGGAAGCTGGCATCATGACCAGCTGTGGGGGCTTTCACCCACCCAGCAGCCCTCGTGGCCTCGGTCACATTGCCCTTCTCCACGGAGACTGGAAGACCTAGATCTCCCGGTTTAGAACCCGTGCCTCTTTCACTCACTTTTCTATGTTTCAAGTCCCAAATGATTTACTAAGATTTCCATAGAATTAACTGTAGTATGTCAGTTTCTTGAGGGTAGGAGCCTTGTCACATGCTCACGTGGTACTCACCCTCACGAAAGTGCCAGAAGCACGCTGAGTGTGAGATAGGCCCTCAGTTAATGCTGGTTGATGAGCGGTTGGTAGGTGATGAATTGGGAGGTGTCCCCCCCGTCCGAGATGACAGACTCTAGGGCTTGCCTGCTCTCAGTGTTACTAAGGAGGGGACGTGGCGCTTATTTCAAAGGTGGTCCTCCTGTGTCTCTGCCCTCCTCCTCCGCTCCCTGCCTTTGTGATGACCCTTCCTGGTAAGCCAGTGACAGCTGAGTCTTTTTCAGTCTGCATCTTGCCCGATCCTTGGTTTTTATGGTGTCTGGGAGTATTCGCTTTGTAAATGTTTTTCAACTTGTTTTCAGTCTTTAAGAGGAATTTCTTTCCGAGGCCACCAGTTCAGGACTTGTCCACTAGAGGTCACTGTTGAGATATGTATTTTCCCTGCCATCATCTTGTGTGGAAAAGATGACAAACC